TTTGGAACACAAGTTAGTTATATGTTTGTATAAAAAATATCCAAGATTGAAAAATCCAAATTTTATTAATTTGATTTGGTTTATAGATTTAAAAATCAATCACAAATAATTTAGTTTGATATTTAGAATATGATGGACCAACAACCAGCAATTGAATGAATTAGTTTTCACCACTAGTAAGTGTATATATATATATATATATACATAATACGACGGAACAAAAATTGAATGAATTAGTTTTTGCAACTAGTAGTATGCATATATATAGTGAATATGACGGAGCAACAACCCGCAATTGAATGAATTTATGACATTAATTAGGCTCGTCATAATTGTTTCCTGAGAAATTATTATTATTATTCTTTATTCTTATAGAAAGAATTATGACTTTCATAATTGTCATGTGCCTATCAAAATCAGCAGGTGCATGTGTATCAGCTCATCTGCTGGACAAACTATAGCCCAGTATTGCTAATTTCATGCCGCACATCTTTTATTCCTCTATTATATTGAGAGATAATACATACTTAACTACTACACAATTTGTACCTTGTTTTCGGAAACACAATTAAATTTCAATTTTGAATTTGTCTTTTAAGTTAAGAGAAGTAAGGAAAAGACTTATAAATTCAACAAGCCATTTTAGCCATATTAATGATTTCTGTCCCTTTTATTTTTTCCTATATGCCTTTTCATCTAGTGTTATTTTATTTAGCATAAAATTGAAAACTTTTCAGCCTCTATGTTTGAACAATATCAATGTCATGGTATTTGTGGTATAACTATGACTAGAAAGTTCATAGTAAAATTATTTTTAAATATAAAAATATACTAGTAGAAGTACTATGTTTAAGAAAAGAGAAGTGTTGTCATGCAGGTTGAAGTTATGTCCAAATTGTGATGTACTTGACTAAACGTGTCTAGATAAAAAAAATTAGGTCTTTTATGCGCACATTTCTCAAAATTTCTCTAATAGTGTTATTTGCTTTCCCCCGAGCACCAATTTGATGTGTTTTGTTTGGTCTAAAGACAATCCTAAAATTGATGTGTTTTATTCAAGTCTTCTTAAAATATTACTAGTAATAATAGTTTTAGTGCCCGTTTGGATGGGCTTTTAAGTTGATCAAACTGACTTAAAAGTCAGTGTTTGACTTGTGAGAGGGTTTGACAATTATAAGAACAACTTAAAATAAGTCAAAAGTTAAAAGTAGGGTGATCCCTACTTTTTTTTAACTCAAAAGTCATTCTACTTTGACCAAGTAGATTACTTTTTTTACTCTTAATTCTTTTAAACAATTCCCAAATTCTTTCATGTGATCTATTCAAATTATATATTTTTGAAATTTAAAATAAGTTGCACATTTAAAATTAACTTAAATATTAAGTTATTGCAATTGAATTAAAATATCAATTAATTTTGATTTAATTTTTCTTAGAAATAAGAACCTTAGATTAATCAACTTTTTATTATGTTAACAGTTTTAAGGGTATTTCAGACATTTTGATAAAAGTGTTTAACAACACTTATTTGCCAAACACATCAACAATGTTTTTTCAACTGCAACACTTTTATCCAAACATATAACTACTTATTTTTAAAATAACTTTCAGCACTTTAAAAAATTACTTTTTAAATGTTATTTTTTTAAGCCAATTCAAACGGGCTCGTAATTACATTTTGAAATTTGGTTATTCGACAATTTTTACCCTTGCACATTAATGTGACAATGAGAGTGAATACGCCCTCTTTTAGGTATGTAGGAATGAAAAAAAACCAAACTAAAAATCAGCTCCTAACAATTTATTCAAAAAAATGTACATTTTTTCAGGCCAATTTGAAAGAGAAAATTATTCGATTCTAACACTATCATTTTAGCCAAAAATAAAATTACTTTTTGTTAAAAATAATGAAGTACCATCTTTGTATTTCATCTTTAGATACCATGAATATTTGTTTCGAATGTGTATTTCTAAAAATAAATTGACAGTGTAATTTTAATCTCATCTTATTTTTCGTCACATAAAATTAATCAAAATAATGGAATTGCCATGATTTAAATTTTTTATTTCTTATTTTGAAGCAATCACAATTTAATTGAACTATTTTTTTTCTTTTCGGGCCTAATCAATTTCAAAAATATTGGTTAGAGTTCTTTTATTTTTAGTGAAATAAAATAAAAAGTTTTGGTAGAATAATTAAGTTTAAATTATATAATCTTTATTATATTTTAATTAGATTTATTGACTATAGTTTGACATCATACTTTTTCAGTTCGGACAAAATCTTTGGAAAATAGAAAAGACTTCTTGAGTCTGCACAAGAGCATCCATAATATATAGTTTTTCTTAGTCATCTAATTTATCACCAATATAATTTGCAATTGTATGCTTCCACATAATACCCCGATTACTTTCGAACCCAAAAAGGTGAAGGATATAAGAGTTAGATTTAATGGGTTTTTATACTTTGGTGGGTCGGATTTTAATGATTAGTTTGAGTAGAATATTAAATAGAGTATTTTTTTTAATTATGGCGATGTATGCGCCACATAGATGATAAAAGTGCGGTAATGAAATTTAACAGCCCAAAAGCAAATATATGCCTAAAGTTGAATGGTAAGTGTAAATAAGGGGTAAATAAGAGCCTTTTTAAAAAAATATAAAAAAATGTCAGGTGGATATATATAAACATATTTTTATGATGAGATGGTGGTGGGGAGGTAGAGGGGTAAAGGGTATGAAATAGGCAAGTTAAAGGAACAGTTTATTACTAATAAGAAGGCGTAGCGTGCGTACCTGTGTCCATGGGAAATGTCTAACGGCGGCAAAAGCAAAGGTAACAGCAGGGTTCATATGGGCACCAGATATATGTCCAACAGCATATATCATGACAGTTACAATGAGTCCACCAGCTACGGACGCCCCAAGCTTTGACACTTTGTGTTCATCGCTCCCACTAAGAGCTGATGCACCACATGTCACAAACACTAATAGGTACGTAGCTATTATTTCTGCTATCACCTACAAATTTATTCATCATTCATTTCTTCAATTAACATAACATTTTGACGGAATACTATTTTAATCTAAAAACAAAAAAATAATAAGTCTAATACCTTTTTGAGAAAACCAGATCGGTAATACTTTTGTAGAAATATCAATAGGTAGGCTGATTTCGGATCTTCCTTCAATACCGATTCATTTTGTTTTATGCTTTTGCTACACTTCCCTCCTTCACTCTCCATTGAGACAAATATATAATTGAAAATGTTTCTAAAGTAGGAAAGGAGACGGAATATTTTGTGAATTGAAAGAGCTAGGGAATTAACTTCTACTTTCAGCTTTAGCTCTAAGAAATACCCACACTTATATATATATATATATATATATATAAGAAGAAAAGAAAAGAATATGCACCTCAATGCTTTTGGGTGGCCAAGTGTCAATCTTTAATTCGGACCCAGACACAACCATGTGCGTGTTTATATGTGTTTGTGTTTTCTCTTTTTCCTTTTTTATTATTTTTGTTGGTTGGTTTCATATTTAATTGTAGGTATACATATACTTTCTCCCTATACTCAAAGGAGCATACTATTTTATATACTCATCACAAAAGGCCAATCATTGTTACATCTTATCTCTATACACTACATAATTAATTAACGAAAATAGCTCAATTACCGTTAAATATGTATTTTTAGCGGCAATTAACACTCTTTGTATGTCCCTAAAACCTTTAGCACATTGAATCTAATGACACTTAACTAATACCAGTAAATACTTTAGCACTCTTTATTAATGTATCTGTTTATTGTCGCTAAAAATTGTTTTTGTTGTAGTGATACCTAGAGGCGGTCCCATGAGTTTTATGAGTCCTCAATTATAATCAGTTTTGCTTATTGACTTCTAAATATATATATATATATATATATATATATTCACTAATATAATTATAGAATATGAGCCAAGTTGAGGTATAAGGTTAACCTATAACTTTAACTCTTTAAGGTTGACATTATCCTGTTAATGCCTATGCCACATGGCTGTAACAATTACTGGTGGCTTAATTTTTGGTTGGTACATTTCTATATATTCATCATAATAATATTGTATAACTTAGGATTAAATTTCCCTCCTATTTTATGTCTTGAAATAAGAATGCAGGTGAACTATCAAGAAAAAAGATAATTTCCGATGAATGACCCATCAGAGTTTGGCTCGTCGTAAGAAATTTCCAACCGAAAATTCAAGGGAAAAAACATTACCCTTATAACAACCCATCTGGTTTTGTTGAGTATTACACTCGTTTTTTCCTAATCTAGACTTCCCATAGGTTTATCTAAGTGTTTTAGGACTAGAGGGGATATGGGGCACGGGTCCCAAGGGACTAATTAAGGCGCAGTTTAGAACAGAAAATCACAAAAAAGAAAGTTGAACACTTAAGGGAGTGTTTGGTATGAAGGAAAATGTTTTTCATAAAAAATATTTTCTTGGAAAATAAGTGCATTTCTGTAATATCCCGTAACTTAAAATACATTTGCGACTCGTAAACACCAATGCATAGATGTGATATCGGGGGAGGTATATCATTGAAAATGGTTAGGCATACCATGTAACCCTTATATTTAGTCATTTGAAGGGTTAAACAAAAGTTTTAGGTCAAAGAGATCATTAAAGAAAAGATTAAAGTTTAAAGGTTCATTGTGGAGGAATACTACAAATGATCTCATTTCTCATCTGACTTTGAACGAGCATATCTCCTAATATATAACGAGTTAGAGGGCCTACAACCTATCCAATTGAAGGTATTTGAGTCTAGTTTCCAGCAAAATAAATTGCTCGTTAAAACGATATCGGAGTAAAAAGTTATGTTCATTCTACGACAGACGCACGCACTGCCCAATCACTGCGGGACATGTGACACTTTAGAGAAAGTCGGCCAAACTTGTTGTTTTTTTATTAGAAGTTAGGGATATACTTTCTCATATACTCAAGAACATGTAAGGACTGGTTTCAACTTATTTCTTCAAGTTTTTCTCATCTTCAATCCACCAAAGCTTAAGGTAAGTTGGTTTCTTCAAGAATCAAGTGTCTTCCTCTCCATAGACCTATAGATATACTTAGCTAAATATTTTTTTGAAGGAAAAAGTATTGTTCTTGGAGAATAAAGAGGGCAGGGGCTGCTTTTCTTTGATATATAGGTATGAATCCTCTTCTATCTTCATAAATAGTATTCCAAGGATGCTTTAAGTATAATTTGTGGGTAGGACTCACGGGACGGTGATAGGAAGCCGTGAGTCCATGTTTTACCCATTGTATTTGATGTTTTGGTGAGGAGGGAGTTTGAAGAAGGTTGTGTTGGCTGTTGTTTTGACCAAATGAGGGGTCAATGGTATTGTATTGGGGAAGTAATCTGGTTACATTAAAACGGAAGGTGAGGTATAGAGAACGCGACTATTATAGTTCTTGAAACTTTGTCGCTCACCAAGTGTTTGATGAAATTCCTAAGTCACTAAGAATATGTTGTAGCTGATTATATGAGCTCCTATTATTTAAATTTATGGCATTAGTTATGTACCAACTTAAACTATGAGCTTATAAAGGAATTTGACATCGTTAACAAGGAACCGGTGGGATGGTGATCGGATGCCATGAGTTTTACTTTTATGTTAAGTGTGGATGATTAAGGGGGCTGGTTCTTTATGGTTAAAGGATGAGGAGTAATACAGAACATGTAAATAATTCATAAGCCTACTTGGAAAGTAGAGAAAGAGAAGGGTGTGGTGATACACCACTCATCTATGGTAATTGTTGAGATTGTCGCTCGCGAACCATTATTGTGTTTTTGGCATTGTTGTGACTCTTGATTAGTTTCTTATACTATCCTTTTATCATTTTATGTTATAGATAAAGTTGTCAGCAAAGGAGTTTGACGACGTAAGATAGTAAGTCTCGAATTAAGGTACGTAAAGCTAAAACCTCTTTTGCTCTTAAGGCACGACCTAAACTCGCATGTTCTTCCGATAAATGTCACTATAGATTCTATGATACTTGAAAGAAAGTTATCCTATTTTATAAACCCTCTCATGTTGAGTCCTAAACCTATAGAGTTATAATACTCTTCAAGGAAGCAATATGTTTCACACAATTAAATTTGTCTACAGTTGGAACTCTTAGAAGTTAGCGGTGTGCATGTTGCATAAATTTAAAGAAAGCAACCAGCCACAGACTATTCGTAAGTGCATAAGTCACAAGATATATGATTCTGAAGCTAAAGAATGTAATAACGAATTGTATCACGAGCTATGTGATTAATGAATTAATTATTATAAACAATTGCAAGCAATTGAGACTATAGACTACTCTGCAGCGTATGGTGGGTATATTTAGGGCTACTACATGCGACGCTACTCTGTGCACAAAATCCAGATATATTCAGCTGGAATTTCCCATCGTGGATTCACCTGACTGATACAGGCCTGCGGGCAGACCATACAGGAGCCCTGGGGGGAGTACCTTGATAGACCTCATTACGAGACTGTGAGATTTCACTCGTGGTCGTGACAGTGGGCTACAGATGCTATACAGGGTTCACTAATCGCTGTCAGTAGGCCATCATGTGATTCCCTGACAGTTAGCTTTACAAAGAGAAAATAAGCAATATAATGAAGTAAAGATATCACTTAGGCAAATTATAGGGATTATATATATAAATGACTAAGCCATGAAACGTTCGATGAGGACCCTTGAGGTTGGTCACCATTCCAGTTACGGATTATGTCTCCTGCATACACATGCTCAGATTTGCCTATCATGATATTTGATGTCTACTTGTTATTCAGTTTGCTTTACATACCAATACATGTTTTGTATGTACTGACGTCCCTATTATTTTGGCGTTTCATTTTTATCACTACAGGCTCAGGTACTCAGGACAACAAGCATTTTCATTAGACTAGAGACTTCCAGTTTAGCAGTTGGTAAGCTCCACCTCTACCTGGAGCTATCAGATATTTAGAGCCTATATTTTTCTACGTATATACATATATCAGAATGGGCATGTCGGCGCCCTGTCTCGACTAGTTATCAGATTCTCAGAGGCATACTCTTTAGAGGCTTCGTAGACTTAGTCTTGTTTCCATTGTAAAGTAGTCCAACGGGCTCTTTTGTTATCTATGTTTTAGTATGTGTCTTCATATAGGTTCCGCTGCTTATGAATCTTCAGCTTTGGCATGAGATTAGTAAGATATTTAGCAGGTGCTTGTGTATATCCTTGATGTTTGCCCCTTTCTAGTTAGGGGTGTGACAATTTCTTACTTATTTTCTCATGTTTGGTTGGAGAGTAGAAAATAATTTCTAGAAAATATGTTTTAATGTTTGGTTGGTGAATGAAAAATATTTTTCAGAAAATATCTATTTTTTTGTTGGCTTGGGACTAAAAAAAACTCTTTATAGGGATGGAGGTAGCATTTGAAATATTTTCCAAAAATAATTTTTTCTTAATTTTTTTTACGGGAATGGCCTGGGTCGGTGGGGGTAAGGGTAGGGGTGAAGTAAAATATGATTTTTTTAAATTTAAAATATTTCTCAATTTTTTTTTGACGGGAATGGCCTGGGTA